TCTGCCTTATGTTTTTCCACTAGGGTTTCTCCGCCTTCCATCATTAGGCATTAATTAAATTTAATTTTTTGAGAGAAAAAATTAGTAACTTCCTAGCCGGGAATCGAACCCGGGACCTCCCAATGTCGCGTCGGGTGGTCTTACCATCTGAGCTACCAGGCACTTACGAATTTCACTCTCAAATTGACTCATACCCGAGTGGAAATTCCTTTCAGGTCTCGATCAGAAACTGATCAAGTCCGATCCTAAATTCTGATCAGGTATGTTATGCCTCTGCCTTATGTTTTTCCACTAGGGTAGTAGTCGAAGACTACTTGAAGCGGTTTACCGCTTTGCTGCCGCTTCTATCCAAATGTTTTTTTACATCATTAGCCCTTCTTCTTCGGGCTTTTAGAATTTATTGTTACCGATCGGAATTCATGGATTATATTTTCGTGAAAAATCTCGCCGAAGGTTGGGCTTGAACTCGCGACCTCTCGCACATCAGCCAGACGCGCTAGCCCTGAGCCGAATGGCCGCATATGTCAAATGTCATATTTGTCGTAAATAATTTCAGTGGAAAATATGTGAACGCTATTCGCATTCGTCATTCTCAGCGGATATCACCGCTTATCAATTGAAATAAAACACTCGTTAGGTTTATCTTGTAAATGGTTTTTTAATATTCACAGAGAGAAATGTTCAGTAAAAATTACGGAACTCACAGTTGGCTGACCGATAACGGATAATCAACGCAGAAAATTTAAGTGACAGGAGATTTAGGTAAAAATAACGGAACGCTCTGGAAAAATTCCGCGATTTTAATTAAAAATTGCATGACAGTTCCGTAAAATTTCCTGCAACGACATTGCGCTCCGAAATTACGGAAAATATCCGTAATATTTATTGAATATTTCTCTCCGTATTGAAAATAATGTTTACCGTGAACTCACCGAAAGACAGCCGATAGATTTCCGTGACGTAACGTCTGATCAGTCCCCGTAGGACGAAAACAGCAATTAACTTTTTATTCAACTAGAACACAGACACTTAATCGTTTCGCTGACACTTGTTGCTGACCTCTTTGCTGTCTCCCTGCCGCACACGCGCTTATATCGAAATTGCCTCCCTCTCCGCATCGCAGATGTATAATCCTAGTGGAGTATCTACCGAAATTTTATTCACCAAGTATGTTCAATCGTATGAGCATGTATCAGTGACATTAGTAAGTCATGGCAGATGGCGCTGGTAGATGTATCCTTTGCCCCAGCGGCGATTTCAAATACAATTTCACTTGGCGAAGAAAAATTCTCCGAGTATTAAGATGAAATATTCGGTACAACTAAGGCGTGAGTCTGTTCCTTTGTTGTTTCTTGGCTTCTTGATTTCTCTGGAGTATGAGATATTCACTTTATATCCCAACTTCACTCGCTGACTTATCATACTGCAAATTCTCCAAGTGCCGTAACGCATATTCACACAAAGGCATTCCAAAGAGGCGGAGTACAGGCTTGCATTCTCAGTTTTCCCCGGGGTAATTTTCAGTTTAAAGTATTTAACATAGGTATTTCTTTTGTCTCGAATATTTCTCGTCGATCGCTTTTTCGAGAGCCCCTCAAAGGTGAAATTCACATCGCCCTCTCAGGACTGATATTTGAAAGTCGTTGCTTGTTAAGTAGGATTGGGGAAAGTCATTGGTAAATCACAGCTGACTGTTCGCGGAGGAGCTTATGTGAAGTAATCGCATTAATCTTTGGTACTTAGGGTGCAGGGAGGGAGGTTTCAACTCTATTTTGAATTTGTGCTGGGGAAATTAGTGCATATGCTTGTTTGCATGATTCCAGGGGCGGCTCGCCATTAGCTGTTTCAGAATTCATGCAATGCGAATTGATGATTGCAATCGAAATCACTACTGTTACTATTATTTGGTGGCGACTGTAGAAGTGTAAATAACAGAATATTAATTATGATTGAAAATCAGGACGACAAATCGCTGCCTGCGGCCGCTGTGAAAAAAAATATTATTCGTCAGACGGCCTAAAAAACTTTTCCAGCTCATATGATTACAACCTTCGCCTTCGGCTCGGGCTGCAGCCTAATGTTTGCCACAAATTCAAAATGATGCTTCATACACAGCATCATCCTCAGTTTGACGGGGTTTACACGAGAAAACGTTTTGTTTTCAATCGTTAACTACAAAAAAAGCTAATTTTTTATAAATCTGACATTTTCACGAATAATTGGCAATGAAATATCAAGAATTTTGGCGCCAATTGCAGTGTCGTTTGCCCTAGTTCGGCGGTTATTAATTCTTTCAGTGAGACAAGTATTTCATGCATTCGGACGCTTTTCTTACAAAAACTAGCGATTTAAAAAAAATCATAACTCCCTCAATTATCAATAGGGTGAACCAACCAGTGTTCTAACCAGACCAGTAATCGAACTAATTGGTACTTTTTCTATAAAATAAATTAGTAGAAGGTGGAGATGCCTCGCATTATACATGAAAAATAAAATTATGACATTTCCAAATGATATTCTGATGATTGAAAATGTCTAAGTGACCTTATTACCAGCGGAAAAAACAGTTGTCGATGACACGCCGCCAATAGCATATTCCCATTACAGAATACGCATTTCGATTACTGGGTATTCACACATTTTCAGCTGTTTGTATTCATATAATTAATTGTATCGTCAATTAATATCCCTAATATTTTTTTCTATTATCTATGGAGATGTACAGGGGAGTTATAATTATTTTTAAATCAATGTTCGCCTTGGTTATATTTTTTAATCTACGTCGAAAATAACTGTGACCTTATTGGTTCGAACACTGGACGATTCACCCTACTTTTCAATATTTCTTTTTTCAAAATTTTTGTCTGATCGCCATCGTTCCATAAAAATCGAAAAGTGACATTATTCCTCATCAACACATCCAATGTTTTTCATCCAACGACTATCTCCCAATAATTTTCCAAAATTGTTCATCTCAGCTAAATCCCCCTCACGCGCGCATACGAGTTTCTCGGCGTAAATGCAATGTTCACCGTGAGCATTCACGGTCGAGATGACTTTCACCGTTTTGGTATAGTGGTTGGTAGGTGGGTACAAATTAACGCCTAGGAATAGAGGAATTTGAGTATAGCTAGAGAAGTAAGTTGCCAGTAGTTTCTGGATGACCCAGAGTACTAGTGCTTAATACTGGCGCAGAAGAGAAGGAGGTGGATTATTTCCTCCCCCTTCTGCAGGCTCAACTGTAAGTTGGCTTTTGCTTTCCACGGATATATCTCTAATAACGAGACTTCTTTAAGGTCCAGGTGGTGTAAGTCTGAAGGGGCGTTGGGTGAGAAGTGAGTGGAGATGGTTTTGGAAAGGGGCGGGGGGGGGGGG